CCGGACTCACGCAGGCACACCCCCTCCAACCTCTCAGCAGCCACGTGGGCAGCCTTCCCGTCTCTCTTCCATTCTTTCTTCTCACTCTTTTTTTTTTTTTTAAGTTTATTTCTTTATTTTGAGGGAGAGAGAGCAAGTGAGGGAGCAGGGGAGGGGCAGAGAGAGAGGGAGAGAGAGAATCCCAAGCAGTCTCCATGCTCAGCACGAAGTCCCCACAAGCGAGAGATCATGACCTGAGCTGAAATCAAGAGTTGGATGCTTAACTGATGGAGCCACCCAGGAGCCCTTCTTCTCACTCTTCTTAAGTACTTTCACCCCTCCAAAGATCCCCTGAGGTTTAATTTACGCCCATCTCACTTGGATCACTATGTGGCTATGGGAGCAGAGAGCTTGCCTAGTGACTGGCTCTGGGTCTCACATCTGAGGAAGGAAGAGCCCTTTGCAGAAGGCATGGCCTGGGGTCCATGCCACCCTTCATGAAGCCAGTCCTGGGTCAACCTGTTTAGAATCTAAAGAAACACTGGAGTCCCTACGGGCCAGGAGAGCAGGTCTAACACTGAGAGACTATTGTTACAGACTCTGGGCAAACAGCCGTGGCAGTCCAGGAAGAGGAAGGGTGTGTTTACACACAGCTCTCCAAGAAAAGCAAGGCTCTACAGCACACAATGAGGTCCTTATAGTAGAGTCTTTCATGAAGACTTTAAAAAGCTCCAGTCATTTCTCTGTGACTCGTGAAATAGCTGTGGGTAATGAGGTCTGACCGCTGTCACTGAGCTATGTTATACCTGCATGCAGTCTGTTCCGTAACCACCAGCCCGTTTTATACTTTATTGAGCATCACCCAGATATCTAGGGGAATTTTCTCTCTGCCTTGCAGTTCATGTGCATGGCACCACGGACGCTGACCTGGGAACCCAGGCATTGCTTGAATTAAGTCAAATGAATACTGAATGAGAAAGGGTGTGTGAATTCGGATGGGTGCTTTGTTTGAAAGCTCACAGAGTACTGAGGAGGCTCATGATGAGTGTTAGAGCTTGAAGCGGACGTTCCCCTCCCGGTTGCTGGACATCAAAACGTTACTGACTGCTGCTGGGTACGTAAGCCAAATAACTCCTTGTCGGTCAGGCAAAGGGTAAAATGCTGCAGAAACGCTTTAATTAATATCTTTATTCCTGCGAAGTAAAGAAAGGCCAAGGGGACACACATGGCAATGCCTTGGGTTTATGCAAAGCGCAAAGTAGCTGTGGAGATCGAATATTAATATAAATTTCTCAGATCAGTGGAATGCTGTGAGCATCTTGGCTTGGATCTAATATGGACAGAAATTCTGAGGCTTGGCTTTTCTGGTACAGTATCTGGGAAAAAAAAATGTTTAGTAGTGAGCAAAGTGTTATTAAGATACCCAGCTGAAGTTAGACGGCAGGCCAAGTCAACAGGGTTTCCTAACAACTTTAAAGATGTGTGTTCTGGAGAAGAACTGGGGAAAAGGCAACCATGCGTGTGACTCTGGGTCGGCTGATTGGAGAGTACATGAGGGCGTCTGGGCACTGAGTGTTGAAATAGTAAACAGGAACCTAGAACACTGCCTTGGTAGGAGAAGGGCAGAGTCAAATGTGCCTAGCAGAGGACTGATGGACCTAGCGACAAAGGAAGGTTGAGAAAAATTAAAGATATCGACAAGGGAAAGAGTTGGCTTAAGGAAGAGGAGGGAAGGGAATGAAGTCAAAGAAACAGGAGGAGTCTAGAGTCATGGTTCTTCTTTAAAAAAAATTTTTTTTTAAGTTTTATTATTTATTTCTGAGAGAGGAAGAGACAGAATGAGCATGGGAGGGTCAGAGTGAGAGGGAGACACAGAATCCAAAACAGGATACAGGTTCTGAGCTGGCTGTCAGCATAGAGCCTGACACAGGGCTTGAACCCACAAACCATGAGACCATGAGATGAGCCAAAGTCAAATGCTTAACCCACTGAGCCACCCAGGTACCCCTAGAGTTATGGTTCTGAAAGTGTGGTTCTTGAATAGCAGCATCAATATCGTCAACCTAAAATCTCCAGGAAGCAGTAATTAAGAAAGGATGTTTATTTGAGATCAAAGAATTGGAATTCAGGGTACACAGATTTGGGTTGTAACTCAAATAGCATCTGCTAGGGAGCGAACTCAGAGGTTTTTAAAGCAAAAAAGGAAAGTCTGTATAGTTGTTCAAAAGAATTTTTTATTGGTGTTCAGGGCAAAAAGTTACTTTTGAGGGAGTATAAATTGGTTGCTAAGGCTGTTGCTAAGCAAAGTCTTTTAGTGTAGCAAGTTGCAGGTGTTCAGGCTGAGTGCTTGTAATAGTTGAGGTTTGGCTCAGTTCAAAAGTCGATGGTTCCACTAGTGAGGACATGCCTAAGGCCCATCTCCTTAATGGCCTCCCAGCTCCATTTTAAAACTGCTTGACGTAAGTGAGCGCATTTCATTTCACCTTTCACAGTATCAACCGGAAACTTGTTGGAAATGAAAATTCTTGGGATCTACTGAATCAAAACTCTGGAGGTGGGTCTCAAGCAATCCCTGGTCTAACAAGTCTTACAGGTGATTCTGATGTATGCTAGAATTTGAGAACCACTGGTCTAGAAAGTTAAACAAAGTTGGAGATCCCAGCAATGAGCAATGTCATCTAAAAAGCAGGTACAGAGGCCTGTTGTACTGGTGCATGGCCGGTGTGATGTAGTGATGAGTCATTGTTATAGAAGAAAAAGGGAATATTCAGGAGGCTCATCTGATGACTGAGGGTAAAATCAAGCATTGGAATAAAAGGAAAAAAAGAAATCCAGGTGCTCATATTATCAAAGAAGGTGAAAGTGAGTCTCAGAGAGTAGCATGTGAGGATGAGGAGAATTAAGAATGAGGAATATAGTGAGATATCAAATGAAAGAAACTGGGAACTATGGTGGATAAAAGGTTTAGCCATGACAATAGCGAGCAAGGACCAGAATATCCACTATTTCCTCTCCTCTGCAGTTGGGAAAATGGGAAAAACTAAATAATTATTCCCCTAGCGAAAACAAAATGGAGCCAGGGTGTGTCTGCCTGACTGGATAGAGTGATGGTGATTGCCTTAACTGAAGAAAGGAAGTGAGGATACAGGGAGTTTTGACTTAGCCTACCACTTAAAGGAAACTAGGCTTGAGGAGGAGTAGAGAACAGTTCAATGGTGGAAGTTCTTCTGAGTGGCAACATAACTAAACATTCCTCTAGAAAACAGTAGACTGGAAGGTTAGATCAGTGGACCAGCCTCCACTAAGTGAGTGGAGGACATTTAGTGGATGGAGAAAACATATACATGCCAACAAGATAATAATCCAATTTTCAGTATAATGTAGCGACACAAACTCTTTCAATAAGGTAAAAAACAAAATGGTGGCATGGGAAGTTGGCTGCTGTATTTATAGAGGTTACAATCACAGCTGTCATAGACCATTTAGAGGACAAGGATCATTTCTGATGGTAGACGCAGGCAAGAAGACAAACCCTCATTTGAAATGTGCAGTTATCGGTTAAGCAAGGAGTCACGGTCAAAGTGAATTCCTATTCTAATACAAAAAGTTAGGACAACCCCAAAAATGCCAATGTGGCATTCTTAAACAAGGCCCTATATTTTAATAGCATTCCTTTGTTTTATATGGAGAAAGAAAAAGTAGTTCTATAAATTAGTCAGAAAGTGATATAATATATATGCTTTATTTCCATGGATTTCTGAATTCATATACTTTAAAAAAATCTCTACCTTATTCAAATTTCCCCCTACTATGTGATATTTATTATACCAACCAAACCGACACAAACGTTGCTTTTGAAAGATAACAGATTGTAAAATCTAATAGATTCTAAAATCCAATAGATTGCAACCAATTTGTTAACAACAAAAAGAAAAACTAAATTAAGGTGAACATTTGTAACAATTTACAGAGCTCTGTTTAACTTAATTAATAAGAAAAACATGCTTTGGATAAGGCATTGTTTCAGCATTTCTCAGAGAATAAGGCACACAATCACTAGCACTACAAATCACAATGTGTGAGAAAAGCTAAAGATAGCAGATGGCACATATGAGACAAAAAAGCAAAGCAAGTGCCTTTAGGGCACTGACTTCTATATCAAAGTGACATTAAATTGTGAAAATGTAAAATTTTATCGCAACTAAATTTTCCATCTCTAATAAGGGTTAATCATTTTGGACAGGTTAACCTGAAAGAACAAAGGACAAAGCAAACTTCCTAAAAAGACTTCATTTTGAAAAACGTATGTTTTGTCTCTCTGTATCAGGTATATGTTTTAAAAATAAATGAATTGGTATAATATTTTAAAATAGTGTATAAACAAATCGATAGGAACTAAAACAATTTTATTGGCACCTCAGGAGTTTCCTTCTGAAATAACATTACTGGTAAGTCCTTTTTTGTGTGAATTCAAATTCCATAGTTATAAGCCACGTATTAATAGTTTGTTAATTTAATTATGTTTTTCAGAACCATTAAAACCTTAACACATGAGACTTGGGGGCAAAGATACTAAAATAATACTGGGCGCCTGGGTAGTTCAGTCAGTGGCTCAGTCTTGATTTTGGCTCAGGTCATGATCTCCTGATTTGTGAGTTCAAGCCCCACATCAGGCTCTGTGCTGACAGAGCAGAGCCTGCTGGGGATTCTCTCTCTCTCCATCCCTCCCCCACTCAGGAGCACCCTCTCTCTCTCAAAACAAATAAATACACTTAAAAAAATAATACTTGAGTAATGTTATTACAGGTAGCATATTACAATAGTTATTTCCTAAAGATTCCTGAAACAATAATCTAGATGTGATATTAGTTGTCATCTTTTATGAATATTATGACGATTTCTTACAAGTACACTGGTGCCAATTCTGCCAGTAATCACAACTCAACTAAAGTTCCTGGCAAATCAAACTTCAGTCAGGATCAACAGATAGGAAAGAAAGAAATCTTAGTGGTCACCAGACGTCTTATTCAGGATCTCGTTTATTCTGGCTCTTTCACTGTTTCAACATCTCAGGGAAATGTGGACATGAATGCTGACAAATTAGGCCCCCTACAATTTGGTCTGTTTTTCATCCTGAAGTGGACTGCCGTAAACGTATACCTCCAGAAAACGTAACTGGATGTTAATCTACTAGAGCTACTGGTAAAGCGAGATGAACAGAAGAAACAATAAAAATGTATCATGGGATAAATGAAACTCTAATATCATACGAGAGTATTAGAGAAGAAAGAAGTAAAATTACAACAAATGTATATTTAAAAAAAAAAAGGTACATGCCTCCTGAGCAAGAGGATTCAGGAATTACAACAAATATATATTTTTTAATTTATAATGTCAGCTACCCTTAATTATCATTGTCTGAACCATTTCCTTCTCTCAGTGGGGCATACAGTTACTTCAGACGTCAATCTGAATTCCATGTTTTGCAGACATCATTTGTCTGGTCCCTGTTAAATACATAACGAATGAACAGATATGAGGTAAAGACGATGTGATTATGACATAGAGCCAGAATGGCAAAGGAGAAGTTTTTCCAAATGGACATATCCACAAGCCATGACGAATTCCATCTCGGATATGATGTGAGGTCCAGGATATAAATAACATCCAGGGAAGAAAGCACCATGAGTCTTTGAGTTTGAAAAGGTGCATAGTAAACTTCAAGGTCAGAGCTGCGACAGGTATCACAGTAGAACAGTGAAGGAAAGGTCTTCGGGGAAGAGTCAAAGCAGCCTGCAGGGAAAGAAGTAGCTGGTATCATTTCCTTCTTGGCAAACAAAATTTTGTAGACGCTTCCTAATATTCTAAGATATTTTCCAGGAGTCTGTCAGAAATGCAGTGGAAACATTTTCTATGTCACCTGTGACTATATGTATTAAATCTGGCTTGTAGAAGCAAAGAAGATATAAATGTGAGTAGGATATTCTTTGCATTAAAAATGAAATCAAGATCTCAAGAACCTGTTCATTAATTTTTTAAAGTTTTCTATCATTTGCTTAGAAAAGTCACAGTATGAACGTAATTTATATCCCAAATGTACGGTTTGTGTAAATTTGGAGTTTTAGAGAATTATCTGGGGGCTCTAATAGCATTGAAAAAAAATATCACAACCAAATAAAATATTCTTCTATCAATAAAGGCATGAAAAAAATATTTTTGTTGTGTCCGCTTTATATTAGCCTTGAATATTTTCAGAATGCCCTCATAATAACATTTAGAAAGACTATGTTATTTTAGTTTGGTTTATTTATTTTGAGAGAGAGAGAGAAAGAGAGAGAGACTGTGAGTGCATGGGCAAGCTAGAAAGATCATGACCTGAGCTGAAATCAAGAGTTAGATGCTTAACTGCCTGAGAGACCCAGGCTCCCCTCAATTAGATAATTTCTAATAAAAAGGAGGCCGAGGGCATTGAAAATTGCCTGATTCTGAATCTCCCGACACATCCTCAAAAACATTACAGACAAGGACAAATAAAACTATATCAAACCCCACTCAGCATTAGACAGAAGTTAGTGCCCCCAACTTCAAATACTCTAAAGTATTAAGACAAACACCACCCTGGTGCGCTCTCTCGCACACTCCCACCAAAAGCCAAGAAAGAAGAGGACACCTAAGATTGATGTAAGATAACCACTAGAAAGAGAAACACTGGAAAGGGTCCTGGTAAATCAGAACACTGACTACAAAGCAAAGACTTAAAAGTGTGCATGATTCAAGGCATTAAAAGGCATTGATTCTGGGGGAGAAGATGATAAAAAGAGGAGAGGAACCCTTTGGGGATGCTAAAGAGGAAAAGGAGGAGTGAAAAAAACAACTTAGGTACCTATAAAAACAATTATGAGCCATAACCTTCCCAGTACATTAAAGTACAAAACATCCATTAAAAAAACTACCTTGGGGGCGCCTGGGTGGCTCAGTCAGTTAAGCGTCCAACTCTTGATTTCGGCTCAGGTTGTGATCTCATGGCTGTGAGTTCAAGCCCCGCGTCGGGCTCTGTGCTGACAGCCTGGAGCCTGGAGCCGGGAGCCTGCTTCAGATTCTGTGTCTCCCTCTCTCTCTCTCTGCCCCTCCCCTGCCCACGCTCTCTCTCTCTCTCTCTCAAAAATAAACAAAAATATATTTTTTAAAATGTTCAGATTTCATTTTAAAAAAAGGACCATTGCCAGCACTATGCTCTACTTTATGTGCACTACGTCCTTTAATCCTTGTAACAGCTGCATGAGCTAGAGACCATTTTACAGAGCGGGGAGCTGAGGCTTACAGGGACCAAGTAGCTGCCTCGTGTTGTACAGACACTGAGTCTGTCTGACTCCTTGGCTCATATTCTTAATGCTGCTGCTTCTAAGTGAATCAAAGAATAAACGTAGTATTTGCTTAAATGTTTTAAAAAAACGACAATCATTAAATTCTAGGTGAATGCACTTATGAACCACACTTTCTGTGATGCTTCATAGCTTATCCAAATCTCAACTAACGTTTATTGTGAGCTATTTGCCACAGTACATCCTGTAAACTTGCTCACACTTAACACGCAAGACAACCCAAAGAGATCAGTAAAGACAGAATCCACATTTTCTAGACGAGGACACGGAGTCTTAAAGAAGAAGGTGCCCTCCTAACACCACATACCAGGATTCAAACTTGGGTCTCTGATGCCAGTCTCAAACACAGTGTTATTCTGCCTCCACTTATAGCCAAAAGTTACGATTTGTCTTTCATCAGGAATTAGTGATTCCTAACTGATTAAGTGTTTTCATAAGTAAGACAACCTCTGAAAAATAACTGGTATGTGACATATAAAGGAAGAAGTGATCATTTCCTGTTTATTCAACAAATATCTACCAAACGCCCACTAAGGTGTTCCAGGCTCCATTCCAGGCCTGCGGTGAACAAGCAAAGTCCTTGCTCTGTGGGTCTGTATTTCTTTCCTGAAATGTTTACAGGTCATAAACATGTAAAAGGTAGGCAAATCTGTTGACACTTAGAAAATATTATCTGAACAGGGACACCTGGGTGGTTCTTGATTTTGACTTAGGTCATGATCCCAGGGTCATGGGATCCTGTTTGGGCTCCATGCTGAGCGTGGAACCTGCCTGAGACTCTCATTCTCTCTCTCTCTCTCTCTCCCCTCTGCCCCTCTTCCCCACTTGTGTGTACTCTCTCTCTAAAAAGAAAAAAAAAAAAGAAAAAAGAAAATACTGTCTGAACATAGTTCATTTCCAAAGCTAACAGGTCACTGTATAGCTAAACACCTGAAGCCTCAATGAAGTTCCTCAAATTTCTCCACCAGGGACTGTGTCCTAAGGAATCCATTGAAATGCACACCTTTGGCCCCCAGAGGGACTGGGGAATGAATTTCCTGAAGCCATACCCCAGGACTAGGAGTCATCTTAAAGCTACTTAACTGTTATGGAGCACGTAGGAGCTGTATACTAACTGTACGTACAAGATGAAGAGTAAGGGCGAAAATCCTAAGTGTGGCCCTGAAGAAAGAACACGGAGAAAAGAACCAGGTTAGCCCTGGGAATGACCCCTATTACTTTAAACCACTTGGCTAACATTTCCTTCAAGACTTGGCTAAGCACCTGAAGAAAGAACACGGAGAAAAGAACCAGGTTAGCCCTGGGAATGACCCCTATTACTTTAAACCACTTGGCTAACATTTCCTTCAAGACTTGGCTAAGCACCGGCCTCTGTAAAGCCAGCACAGAACTCCTCAGGTACACGTAGTGAGTCCTTGCTCTGTATGCATCCTTGGCCCTTTGTGATGCCAAATAACTTGATTAGCAACAGGTCTGTGTTCACCTTCAGGGAAGTACTAAGTGCCCAAAAAAGGTGGATGAATGGGTTTTCTAATTTTAAAATAAAGCTAATCTCTAGCTCCAAAATGATGCTGTGAAGATCAATATAATGGTGCTAAAGATCAGAAAAATTAAACATACATGCTTCTTACCTTCAAAGATAAAGATCCAGCTAGAAAAAAATGGTCTACATCAATAACAGAGGCTAAAAATCCGGCTAAAATGATTTCCCCAAAGTCAGTTGTCTTCTTGACTCCAATGACAATTGCCCACAACCACATGCCAATCACACAATGTACTGCATTATCTGAGAGGGCTCGAAGCCAGTCACTTTGCTGAATTACTGAAAACTGAAGAAGTCTGTCGGCTACTAGGCAAAATACTCCCAGACCGAGGCTGGAAAAAAGAGACTCGGTGCTACAAGACTGGAGTAAAGCATGGGTCTTCTCAGCCTCTGAGGCCATCACAAACAATACGTCAGCATACACCAAAAGCCATCAGGACACGAACAGCTTATTCTTGTTTACATTCCCAGTCACCCTAAAATAGAAAGCAAAGAAAAATATTAATGCTATATAGCATTAAACAAAACATAATCAGCAAGAATTTCAGAAATACAAAATCAAGTTGTGGAAACTGGTAATTTAAAAAAATTTTTTAAAAAATGTTATTTATTTTTAAGAGACAGAATGCAAGCAGGGGAGGGGCAGAGAGAGAGAGGGAGACAAAGAATCTGAGGCAGGCTCCAGGCTCTGAGCTGTCAGCACGGAGCCCAATGTGGGGCTCGAACCCATGAACTGTGAGATCATGATATGAGCTGAAGTCAGACGCTTACCTGACTGAGCCACCCAGGCACCCCTGGTATTTCTTTCTTTTTTCAACTGTTGTCAGTAATTTCATTTTGTTTTTCCCAGCTTTGTTGAGATATAACTGATATATAACACTGTGTAAGTTTAAGGTGTGTAATGTGATGATTTCATACCCACATACGTCGTGAAATGGTTACCACAGTGTGGTTACTTAACATCTTCATTACTTCACATAGTTATCTTTTGGTGAGTGTGGTGAGAACATTTAAGATTACTCTCAGTAACTTGCAAGTGTAACAAAATTGTAATTCTTACATGTTATATACGATACGCCAGGAAGCCCAAAGAGAACAGAAACAACAGTTTACATGTTAGTATATATCAAGGTGAATTTAAGAATGTCCACCAACTGTAATCCATTACTTTGAGGTCATCCATTGGTTCTATCTCTCAGCAATGTGTGCTACATGGTAGTGGGCATCCGTGTCTGTGTACCCAGCATCTATTTTCCAGACTTCTGAAAACAGCATCTCCCCTTCCTGTAGGAAAACTGCTCATCACGAGACCCACTCTGGAGCCGACCGATTAGAATTCCCGTCTCTCTTAGTAGCAGTAATTAATTAGTAATGATTAATTAGCCATCATTTTCTAGTAGTGAGTAGACTAGTGGTGAATACTCTAGTGATTAAGGTGACCCAGGCTGGGCCAATCCAATTCTCCCTTCTAGAATTTTCCAAAGTGGAGCTGGTAGGGGAAAGTGCCTCTTCTTCTCACAGACCATGGGCTTTACTACGTGGAGCACCCTAAAAACAAAGAATCATAAGGACATCAAATCCTCAGGCCCAGTCGTTAAGTTTCGCAGAGCTGGTCTTGTTCCTGCAGCTTACCATTTACTTCTAGGAGATACCCTAGCATTCTTCCAATAAATCCCTTTTTCCTTTCTGTTGCCTCTAACCAAAGAACTTTAATTGATATAAAAAGGCAATCATAATTCTGTACTGAGTGCTTACCTGGCATAGGATACTGAAATCATTTATCCAGTTAAAGTTATCAGTGTTATGTGATACCTGAAGTTTTTGTTTTATATTGTTTTGTTTTCATTCTAAGACTAAAGAATAAATGATGTATTAAGAATGATTCAACTTCCATTCTGTCATAAAAACTATACATGGCTAATTATACATACTCTAGAATTTATAAGAAAACATTCCTTGAATTGGAAAACAACTTGGAAAAAGATGAACTAAGTTGAAGGACTCACACCATCTGACTTCAAGTTTTATAAAACCACAGTAATTAAGACAGTGTGGTATTGATATAAAGATAGACAAATAGATTGATGAAACAGAATAGAAAGTGGGATCAGAAACAGATCCACCCGTACACGGTCAATTGATTTTTAACAAAGATGCAAAAGCAAGTAAATGGAGAAAAGACGGTCCTTTCACCAGATGGTGTGGAACAACTGGATATCCATACGTAAAAATACCTTACTCCACATACAAAAATTAAGTCAAAATGGATTACAGACCTAAAAGTAAAATATAAAAGTGTACAGCTTCTGGAAGAAAACATACAATATTTTTGTGTCCTTGGGTTATAAAAAGAATTCTTAGAAGCAACATCAAAAAGTCAGTCTGGTTTTTAAAAATTGATAAATTAAAACTCTGTCAAAATTAAGCTCTGGTCTTTGAAAGACGTTAAGAGAATGAAACCACAAGCCACAGACTTGGGATAAAATATTTGCATATCTCGTATTTGATAAAGGATTTCTATCCAGAGCAAAGAATTCTCAAAACACAATAACACAAAATTGGACTAATACAAAAATGGGCAAAAGATTTGAAAAGGTAAAAAGGTGATATAGAGGTGATCAATAAGCACATGAAATATACTCAACGTCATTAATTATTAGGGAAATGCAAATCAAAGCCACAATGAGATACCAGATAAACTTATTAGAATGGCTACAATTAAGGACTTACCATCCCCAATGTTGAAAAGCTGAGGAGCAACGAGAACTCTCACACACTGCTGCTGGAGATGTAAAATGGTAAACCACTTTTCAGTTTCTCAAAAGTTAAACATACTTCTATCACACATTCAGTCATTCTGCTCCTACATATTTACCTGAGAGAGATGCAAGCATGTATCCACACAGACTTGTATGAATGTTCAGAGCAGCTTTATCTACATTAGCTCCAAACTGGAAACAATCCAACTGGATAAACAAAACGTGGAAAAGGAAACAAAAATGTAACACATGCGAAAACTGATGAACTTAGTGAATACTAAGTGAAATACTTAGTGAAATAAACCAAACAAAAAGAGAAGAAAAATGGAGTAATAGTCAAAATCCATGGAACTATACAACACAAACAACGAACCCTAATGTAAACTATGGACTTCAATCAATGTACCAATGTTGGCTTATTAGTTTTAACAAGTGTACCACACAAACACAAAATGTTAATAGGGAGAAATGTGTGTGGAGGGAGAGGTAACATATGGAACACTCTGTACTACCTGCTCAATTTTTCTGTAAACCTAAAACTGCTATAAAAAATAAAGTCTTAATTTTTAAAAATTAAGTAAATGAAGCAAGTATGGGAAATGTTATAACTGTTTAATACCAGTAATGGATACCTGTAGTTCATTATTCTATTCTCTACTTTTCTATATATTTGAAATTTTCATTTAGAATTTTAAAAAAAAATTATTTCTTAGAGAGAGACAGCCTGAACAGGGGAGGGTCAGAGAGAGAGGGAGACACAGAATCTGAAGCAGGCTCCAGGCTCTGAGCTGGCAGTTAGCACAGAGCCCGACGCGGGTCTCGAACCCATGAACTGTGAGATCATGACCTGAGCCGAAGTCGGACGCTTAACCAACTGAGCCGCCCAGGTGCCCCTAGAATTTTTTAAAAGAATAAATGATTCCATTTACATAAAATTCTAGAAAATACAAATCAATTTAAGTGACAGAAAACAGATCAGCGGTTGCCTAGGGAAAGGAGGGACTGGAAGGATTAAAAAGGACCATGTGGAAACTTTGGGGGAACAGTTAAGCTCATTATCTTGACTGTGGTGATAGTTTCATGGTTCATAGTTTCACGTGTACATCAAAATGTATCAAGGTCAAGAGTGCTACCCTTTCCTGCAGTCCGCCCACAGCATGAAGGCTGGAGTTGGTTGGAAGCCAGTGCAGAGTGCGTTCTGTCCTGGCTCTCCTCCACATCCAGTTTCCTTCTTGACTGTCTAGCTGATCTGCAGCAGCTTTGGGCTCAACAATAGGCTCAGAGGCAAGAGTCTGCCCAGAACACTCTCCCAGCCCCCACAGCTACAGCTCTAACCCCTGTAATCAATCAATTCCACATTGTTCAGCAGGCAAGGTAGTTCTGCTTCTTTGACGGGACTTAACGAATACAAGAGCCAGACCATTTGATTGAGTAAGAAGACAGCACTGATGGTGTTATTTTCTTCCAGTGGAATCTCTACATTTAATATACTCCTAATTGCAATCAAAAGGGATTTTCTTTTAGGAACATCCTGAAATGTTTCTAAATTTCATTTAGAAAAGCAAATACCGGGTGCCTGGGTGGCTTTAGTTGGTAAGCATCTGACTTTGACTCAGGTCATGATTTCACAGTTCATGAGTTTGAGCCCCACTTCGGGTGAGCTTGAGCCCTGCTTTGGGTGAACACAAGTTCCGCTTCTGGTAAAATAAAAGAGTAAATGCCAATAAACTTGAAAAAGCAGAATATCATAAGTACTTAAAGGTGAAAACAAAGTCCAGAAACAAATTAAGTATGTGTATGGAGGAGTCAAGAATGTATGTATAATTCTAAATTGAAAGAGGAACAATTATTCTTTAACTCAGATCCTATATCAGTTAGGGTTCTTAAGTACATGGAAAAGAAGTAAACGCAAAAACCAAAATTTATTAAAAGGATACTGGGAAATCACAGACTTGACAGGTTTTAAGAACCAGGCCTCAAATACCTCAGTGAAAATAACACCAGACACCTGGTCTGGTGAATACCTCCCACCACTGAGCCCAGCTTACACTGCCCACCCCGTCACCAGATGGTACCACTGGCATTGGTGCCAATGCAGCACTGTCTGCTGCTGCCATGAAAGATTCTTGGCAGCATTTGTTTTTTTGATCTCAATACAAAATTTGGAGTGCGGCAGCGTTATGTGTCTGATTGGGTGGCTCTACATTCATTACATGACCAGACCCTTGCTGCAAGGGAGGTTGGAAAAGAGAATACTTAGCCTTTTCACCATATAATGTAGAAAGAGGGCTCTTTGATTCTTCCAGTTAATTAGAAGAACAATCTCACAAATATACTATCTGGACAGGAAGTGAGCAGTCCACACTGGTTGTCAAGTCTGTTGATTGCTACATACTCCTGGAGAGAGTCAATCATCAGACGAAACCTGAGATTGGGTTATCTGCTTTCAATCTGTGCAATGCACAGTTTTACACAGTAAAGTTGTTAAAACAACTAGGTTTTAAAATGTCACATTCAAATGGATTAGAGTTTTGCAATATAACAGACCATTTCCCTGCTTAAATAAGACAGGGAATCTGTTTCATTGACTTGCTGCTTGGAAAATTTCTGTGATTAGATAGCTTTTGTAATCAGTTTGGTTATCAAGTTTGGGATATTTACACGAATTTGTAAACATACTCTTCATAGTCCAGCTAAGTAGCCTTTTAGAGAGGAGCTCAAAATTATTTTTAAAATATTGACAGTCATGACTATAGAAGAATGTAAAACTTCTGCATGGCCAAGTTAAAGACAAATGGAGGAAATTTAGAACCTTTACGATGGAGAAGGATTTAAAGTTTTTACTTTATTAAGGGCTCTTAAAATTAAGAAGGAAAAATAAGTACCCCACTAGTAAAGTGGGCAATGTCTATGGAAAGGCAATTTTGAAAAGGAAGAAATACAAATGATCAAAAATTATTAGAAGATTTCAATTTTATTAGTAACCAATTGAATTTAAATTAAAACAATAAGGGGCACTCAGGTGGCTCAGATGGTTAAGCGTCCAACTTTGGCTCCCGTCACGATCTCACTGTTCATGAGTTCGAGCCCTGCATCAGGCTCACTGCTGTCAGGGGGTAGCCCGCTTCCAATCCTCTGTCTCCCTCTCTCTTCACCCCACCCCTGCTCATGTTCTCTCTCTCTGTTTCAAAAATAAATAAGCATTAATTAATTAATTAAAACAATGAGATTTCAATGTAAGATTGCCAAGAGACTGCTAATGCTTTCTGAGAAATGATCACTCATGCTGAGTATGATCAGGAGTTTAAGTTGGTATAATTTTCTAGTGGACAATTTGACAACAAATGTACCAAAACCCATTTAAAAATGAGCAAATATTTTTGATTCAGCATTTCCAATTCTAAAAATTTATCCACAGAAAATAAGTAGATTTAAATACAAAGAGTTACATATGGATATTCAGTATAGCATTGTTTATAATAAGAAAAAATGAGAAATTATAGGTCCAAAATATGAGACTAATAAAATTAATTCCACACAATTATGCAGCCATTATAAACACTGATTCTCATTTTTACTGATACGGAAACATGCTCAAAACATTGAAGCTTAAAAGACTGCCTGTAAAATAATATGTAAAATATTAATTTTTGTAAAAAAACATACATTTAAAAATATAGCAGACTAGGGGCGCCTGGGTGGCTTAGTCGGTTAAGCGTCCGACTTTCGCTTAGGTCATAATCTCTCGGTTCGTGGGTTCGAGCCCCGCGTTGGGCTCTGTGCTGACTGCCAGCTCAGAGCCTGGAGCCTGTTTCGGAGTCTGTAACCCTCTCTCTCTGACCCTCCCCTGCTCACGCTCTCTCTCCCCTAGAAATTAAAAAAAAAAAAAAAATATATATATATATATATATATATATAGCAGACTGTTCATTTGACTTGTATGTCACTCATGGGTTTACATACGATCATTACTTTTTTTTGATTCCCTAAACATTGTCAATGCCTTAATATTATGATCACAAAACAATAAAGCACTCTGAAAAGTTAGTCAGAAGTCATTAAACAACTCAGACCATGATGCCTGTCAGCCTCTTCAAAGTATAATTTTAAAACATTATAAGTATGTTAATAAAAATATTAGAATACATAACATTAATAAACATTAATAGGGGTGCCTGGGTGGCTCAGCTGGTTAAATGCCCAACTCTTGATTTCAGCGCAGGTCATGATCTCACAGTTCATGAGCTCAAGTCCCACATCAGGCTCTGCGCTGTGTGGAGCCTGATTGGGATTTGCTCTCTCCCCTCTCTCTACCCCTAACCCAATTGCTCTCTCAAAAATAAAATAAACTTAAAAATTTTTAAATTAAAATAAACATTAATAAAATTTTATACAATTCTTATAAGCCAAATTTAACAAAAATTACTTGTTCATATGGGACTCAAACTCACGAACTGTGAGATCATAACCTGAACCCAAGTCAGATGCTTAATGACTGAGCCACCCAGGAGCCCCTGTTTGCTTTTTTTTTTTTTAAAAAAGGTATAATATGGGGGCGCTTGGGTGGCTCTGTCGGTTAAGTGTCCAACTTCTGCTCAGGTCACTATCTCACGGTTCGTGGGTTTGAGCCCCAAGTGGGGTTCTGTGCAGATAGCTCAGAGCCTGGAGCCTGCTTCAAATTCTGTGTCTCTCTCTCTCTGCCTCTCTCTGACTCGTGTTCTGTCTCTCTCTCTCAAAATAAACATTAAAAAAATTAAAAAGGTGTATTTATGGTCCCATAAATACAATTCTGACATTTTTCCACTTTTTAGTGCAAATATTTAACATCTCTGGATTAGATTCTGAGTATGAGAAAGAGAATTTTCTGAAAAAGAGAACTTTAATGAGTGTAGTTTCTTTTATTTATTGTCTCTAACTAGAAAACCCAAGTCTATCCATTTTCTTCATACCTTGTTCTTCCTTTTTCCACTTCCTGCCCCTTCCCTACAAATAGAATGGACCTCAAAAACTATAACTGTTTATTCTACATATTCACTTTTATTGGGCAGTTCCCTTAAGAGTAGAAATTATAATTTTCTTTTAAACCTGTCACCTATAAAATCTCATGTGCACAAGGTATTTACCAAATATTTCATTATACTAATACAAGGTGTAAGCAAGTAAGCAACCCTCAGCCTATGAACTAAATATATTGTTTAGGATGACTTCTGATCTCATAACAGCCAGTAACCTAGATGATAAATTTCTTGCAGCCACCTTCTACAGTGGTCAAACTGCCACACCCCATCCCATTATAGTAAAATGTTATCAACTATGGGGCCTTTTAAGTATACATCCATAATAAATAGTAGGGCGCCTGGGTGGCTCAGTCCCTTAAGCATCTGACTTACGCTCAGGTCAAGATCTCATAGCTCCTGGGGCTCTGTGCTGACAGGTCAGAGCCCGGAGCCTGTTTTGGATTCTGTCCACTCTCTTTCTTCCCCTCCCCTGCTCATGTTGTCTCTCTCTCAAAAATAAACTTGAAAAAAAATTTTAAAAAGGTATACATGGTAGTAATCTTTCCTTTCCTGAACTCGCAAACCTAATTAGTCAGTTACTTTAAATATACACTACTATGCATTAATAATGTTAGACAAATATTTCTACCAAAACAAAGAGCTAACACAGTCCCAATTGTCAATGTAACCTGCTTCCCTCTTCCATCACACAAATACTTACAAAAACCTGAGGTAAACGCAATCTAAAATCCAGTAACTACCTTTAGCGTTGCTTTATAAATAAGCCTTTTTCACTGTTGGTGCTGCAAAAGTTCATATATTTAATTTTTTAAAATTTAAAATTCTTTAAATAATCTCTACACCCAAGGGGGGCTCCAAATCAAACTGGACATCTAGTGGCAGGCTCCGCCCAGTGAGACAGCCTGGCGCCCCTCATACACACATATTTTTAATGCTACAATACCTAAAGCAGATGCCAAATCTAATGCAGCTAATTTGCAAAGGAAAGAAACACAAATCCTGCTCACTTTCTCAGAAACTTTTTATAGCCTGAACACAAAATGTTTAATTCCTACACTATTAGGAATAAAACATACAATTCTGAATCTCAATACATTTCGAATCTCCGCAAATTCCCAAAGCATTCTTTCCTAAGGCTGCTGTGATGCAGTAATCTTAAAATGCCCATTAAGAACAATGGACAGGAAGGCCTGGCGTCAACGGAACTAAACACTGCATTTGCAAAGAAGGGACCCCGTCACACTTATAACATTCACGCCTCGAGGGAGACGGGGCGTGCAGAGCTCTCGTGGTCGTAAAGAGGGCAATGGGCAACTCCCGCAAGACCCCCGTCACGCCGCCGCGGGCCAGGGAAACGCCGGGGCACAAAGCCTAGGGGAGGACACGGTGCTCCAGAAATCTCGAAGGCGCAACTAAGCCGGAGGGAGACGCCGGGGCTTCGCGCAGATCCCGGTACCACCAGACAGTGCCGGCCCACGGGTCCAGCACAGCCCGCTCGCTCTCGCGTCCCACGCGCTTGCCGCCCCTACACGCCCTCCCCATGTAGAATCTGGAGCTTCGGCCTCCCACCTCAGGACGCAGTTCGCAGCGTCCACTCCAACCCCCTCCCGCCTGGTCCCCCGCGGAGCTCAGCAGCACCCACCCTCGGCTCTGCAGGTTGAAGTCCGCAGCGCAAACGGCGGCCCCGCCCCTCTCCCCGCCCCTAGGCCGGCACCATAGAGATGCCGGACGCCGGCCAGAGAGGCCGCAGCCCCCAAACGTCCGCCGAGAGGACGCCGGGATACTGGCCCCATTCATAACGGACCGGAACCGATAGCTCGGGAGTCTTTGGTGGAGGTGGTGGGTTCCTCGCCGTCTGCCCCATAAGGAGATCTTTGGGAGAGTGGAGGGATAAGTGCAAAGTGCCTTGTTGGTTTCCTCTGTCAAACCTGAGCACTCATTCTTGGCGTTGCCGGCGCCGTGCCCCAGACTTAGCCGATATACCCATAATGCAGTCTTCCTGGGGGCCAGGAAGCTGAGAACGCAGAAGGGGCCTCATCGAATGTCGGAGGGACAGGCCGTATGTCCAGACGCTTGAGCTTGGAGCCAGAGGCCGTCTTGGGTCGCGAAGGGGAAGAGAAATGTTCGGCTTCCTCTACTTCCTATACAAGTTGGGCGCCGGAGAGTTTTTCCACGAGACGGAGGCACCACGCGACTTTGCAGGTCGGCCGCTCCTCCACAGCGCTCCAACGCCCCCTTGGGGAATTCTTGATAATTATACTTTGCCACTTTGTGGGCGGACAGTGGGTGCTACACTTTATTGTAGCAGCAGTGGCAGGGCTGGTTTAATCATGACTACTAAACGCAGAGGAGTTGAAAAAACTACATGAAATGTAGCTTTTCACTAATTAACCAAACTCACAAGATGCAGCTTTTTAATGGGACTGTGGCCAGGTTCCACCCTGTCTTTTGCCCAATGAGCACCAAGGAGATGTCTAGCTTGGCATTGGCTCTAGGAAGCACTGGCACAAAAGAATCGGCTTAAAGAGGGGCACTACTTTCTTCTTCCTACCTACGGTTTATCAAAACAAGCGTCAGATGGAAAGCAAGGGCAGTAGTGAGATTAATCAGTTGTAAGAGAATTCTGTAGTAAAAAGTGAGATCTTCCATCTCAAGCAAACTCCGAGGCCTCTCGCAGAACTCTAAAGTGTGACTCGGTTTCTTCATGATAGAACTTTTTATTGCTTGCCATACTTGGTCCTTAGCCAGTGGAAAAGATTCAACTGAGGAAAACGATACTCAATTTACTCACATAGTTTAAAGGCTAATTAAAAAACATAACCACAGTATGGCGTGCTTTTAGTCGTGTTAAGGGCCATTTGTCACAAGTGTAGTAACAATTTCACATTGCCCTTAGGCAGCATTGTACATTTTACACTACAGGCTTTCTAGAACTATTGAACGACATGGAAGGCTGCCTGCAACCAAAACGAAGAGAAAGTGTTACAGTTCTTTTCTGTGCAGTCAGCCTACAGCCCAAAGGCACTGATCCGTGTATACAATACATACTGAATTCTCTGTGTGGCAAGCACTATACTTGGTAACAGGATATAGAATGACTTTATGGAGCTCACGTTCTAGTGAAGGATCTAGACCACAAAGAAACAAAGGTTGTACAACTGTAGTCAAGTAACTACAGGGATGTAATAGAAAGTGGGGGAGGCCTTTCTGAAGAAGTACTAATTGGTGCTGAGATTTGAAGGTGGCAAGGAGCCCAGACAGAAGCTAACAAGAGAACACTGTGCCCATTCAAATCTTTGACATTATCACTCCTAATCTATGCTCTGCTTCTTTTCCTTTTTCTCCATGTTTCCTATGTTGTATCTTCTCTTTTCTGTCAAGAAGCTGGTCTTTTCTAGAAATCAGAAGTTAATTAGAACGTATTTGCTATATTGGTCTAATTTTGAAGTCTCTTTAGATGTGTGGTTTTGTTCTTTTCCAATAGACAAGGTTCTAATAAATAGCACTTTTGATGAGCTCATTTTAGTTTAACACACTTGTATAGCATCAGTTTTTTTTTTTCCAGATGTTCAAAAGAAATGAAAAGATTTAATGAGCCAATTCAGATAAAATTGGTCTTTGCTGAAGTGCTCAATTCTTAGCTTGAAGCAATATTGCTTATATGATTTAAACATCTAATTCTCTTTTGGCAGTTCTGTTGAAAAATGTTTGGAGAGACAAAATAGCAAATGACCAAACGCACACGATTCTGCATATTTGAAAAAGAAAAAACTTGAGGATTAATAGTGAATGCTCCACAAGATAAAACAGCAACAACTATAATTTTATAATTTTTTTCATAAATCTGAAATGGTTCAAAATTTTTAAATAGTTCTTTATTAATAAAGTACATTATAAATATAGATCTTAAAATTTACAAGTTAGGTAACCTCGAAAGTTAAATGTCATTTTTTCATACAATCATTGCCCAGAAGTAATTAATATATATAACTTCTTGGCTTGCTAGTAATTTTATACTAGTCACTTGAAACAACATCCTTAAGGTTTGTGATAATTTTTCACTTTTTAGAATTTGATAGAAGACAGTCAATATCCTGAAGGATTTCAGAGGTTTTTTTCAATGCCACTGATACTCTCTTTTCATGAACTTCTTCCAGCAAGGGTTCCGAAGGTTTTGGCTCATAATGATCAGATGATTGTTCATTTTCTTTGTTAGAAATCTGGTTTAGGATACCACTATTCTCCAGTAACACTAAGTTGCTTAGTTAAGGAGTTTTTCCCCATATTTTTTGTTATATAAGTACTTTTAATTTCAGAAAGACTGGTCTTCATATTAAAATATAATTTCTCTGTTAGGAAGGTCTCTTAGATTCATAATAGATTTGGTACTTCAAAACTTATCAAGTCTACCCCTTATTTAAAAAGAAATTGGTTAGAGTAGAAGAAAAGAAGAAAGGAAAGAGAGTATATATGTGTGTATATTTGCATGGAAGTTTGGTGATAGTGAGGAGATAATTAAAATTTCCACATTTCTTTAAGTGAAGAAGTGATACAGGAATAAAAGAACAAAAGAGTGATAGAAATATAAATAATCTATGCAGTGTATTTTTTTATTCAAAAAAGATCTAGAGTGAAAAGAAACCTGTCCTCGGTTGCAGAGCTACTTTATTATTTGAATAGGATTACAGAAAAATTACAAGGTAAAAGAAATTTAGGTGAATGGGGTGGGAATGAACTAAAAATTTCTTAAGAAAATGAGCCCAGTTATATGCCAACAAACTGGACAACCTAGAAGAAACAGATAACTTCCTACAAACTTATAACCTACCAAGACTGAATCATGAAATAGAAAATCTGAATAGACCAATCACTTATAAGGAGGTTGAATCCGTAATCCAGAACCTCCAAATAAGTAAGAGCCCAGGGCCAGATGGTTTCGCTGGTGAATTCCACCAAACACTGAAAAAGAATTAATACCAATCTACCAATCCTTCTCAAACTTTAGCAAAAAACAGAAGAGGTGGGAATATGTCCAAACTCATTTTTAAATCCAGCATTACCTTGACAACCAAAACCAGACAAGAACACTGGTCAGAAAAAATTATAGGGGCACCTGGCTGGCTCAGTCAGAAGAATATATGACTCTTCAACTCAGGGTCACAGGTTCAAGCCCCACACTGTGTGTAGAGATTACTTTTTAATAAATAAATAAATATGTTAAAAAAAAGAAAAAATTACAGGCCAGTATCCCTGATAAATATACATGCAAAAAAATCCTCAAAAGATTAGCAAATGGAATGCAACAATACCTTAAAATGATCATACACCATAATCAACTGAGATTTATTCCAGGAATGCATGGATGTTTCAACATATGAAAATCAGTCAATATGATCTACCACATTAACAAAATGAAGGATAAAAGTTCTCCGATTATCTTGATAGATGCAGAAAAACTCTCTACAAAGTGGGTATTGAAGGAATGTACCTCATGATAATAAAGGTCACATATGACTAGCCTACAGCTAATATCATAATCGGTGGTGAAAAACTGAAAGCTTTTCCTCTAAGATTAGGAATAAGACAAGGATGCCCACTCCCAACATAATGTTGTCCTAGACAGAGCAATTAGGCAAAAAAACAAAAAAACAAAAAAAAGAAAAAAGAAAAAAAAGGAATTCAAGTCAGAAAAAGTAAATTTTTTTTTTAAATTCTTTTAATGTTTTTATTTCTAGGAGAGAGAGAGAGACAGCGTGAGCAGGGGAGGGTCAGAGAGAGAGGGAGTCACAGACTGAAACAAGCTTCAGGCTCTGAGCTGACAGTCAGCACAGAGCCTGACGGGGCCTGAACCCANGAGAGGGAGAGAGAGAGCGCGAGCAGGGGAGGGTCAGAGAGAGAGGGAGTCACAGACTGAAACAAGCTTCAGGCTCTGAGCTGACAGTCAGCACAGAGCCTGACGGGGCCTGAACCCACAAACCGCGAGATCATGACCTAAGCGAAAGTCGGACGCTTAACCGACTAAGCCACCCAGGGGCCCCAAAACTTTTTTTTTTTTTAACGTTTTTATTTATTTCTGAGAGAGAGAGAGCGCGTGAGCAGGGGAGGGTCAGAGAGAGAGGGAAATACAGAATCTGAAGCAGGCTCCAGGCTCTGAGCCATCTGTCTGCACAGAGCCCGACGCAGGGCTCGAACCCACGAACCATGAGATCATGACCTGAGCCAAAGTCGGACACTTAACCGACTGAGCCACCCAGGTGCCCCAGAAAAAGTAAAACTTTCTATTTGCAGATGATATGATATTACATACAGAAGATCCTAAAGACCACCAAAAAAGAAAACAATCCCATTTATTAATTATCTCAAAAAAGAATAAAATACTGAGGAATACGTATAAGCAAGGAAGTGAAAGATCTGTATACTGAAAGACATTTATGACAGAAACTGAAGAAGACACAAATAAATGGAAAGATATACTCATGAACTGGAAGAATTAATATTGTTCAAATGTCCATGCCACCTAAAACAATCTACAAATCCAATGCAATCTCTATCAAATTCCAATAGCATTTTTCAAAGAAATAGAACAAACAATCCAATTTGCATGGAACCACAAAAGAACCCAAATGGCCAAAGCAATCTTAAGAACAAAGCTGGAAGCATAATGCTTCCCGATATCAAACTATATTACAAAGTTATAGTAATCAATACAGTATAGCATGGGCATAAAAATAGACATAGATCAATAAAACAGAATGCAGAGCCCAGAAATAAAGCTATTCAATACAAGGCCAATTAATTTACAACCAAGGAGCCAAGAATATACAATGGGGAAAAGATGGTCTCTTCAATAAATGGTGCTGGAAAAACTGGGCCCTCACCTTATACCATACACAAACATCAACTCAAAATGGACTGAAGACGTGAATATAAGACCTGAAACCATAAACCCCTAGAAGAAACCAGAGGGTAAGTTCCTTGACATCAGTCTTGGCAGTGATTTTTTGCATTTGGTAACTTAAAGCAAAAGCAACAAAAGCAAAAATAAACAAATTGAAGTACATCAAACTTAAAAGCCTCTGCACAGCAAAAGGTACTATCAAAAATGAAAAGACAACAACCTATGAAATCAGAGAATGTATTTGCAAATCATATGTTTGATAAGAGGTTAATATCCAAAATACATAAAGAGCTCATACAACTAAATAGCAAAAAAAATCCAAAAAACCAAAAAAACAACCTGATTAAAAAATGGGCAAGGGAACTGAACATTTTTTCAGTTATGGCCAACAGGTATATGGAAAGGTGTTCAACACCACAAATCATAAGGGAAATGCAAATCAAAACCACAATGAGGTATCATCTCATACCTATTAGAATGGCTATCATCAAAAAGACAAGAGTTAACAAGTGCTGATAAGGATGTGGAGAAGACAGAACCCTTGTGTACCTTGCTATAAATGTAAATTTGTGTAGATACTATGGAAAACAGTATGGAAGCTCCTCAAAAAATTGAAAAAAATGAACTATCATACTGTACAGCAATCCAAATTCTGGGTATATATCCGAAGGCTATGACATCAGGATCTCAAAGAGATATCTGCATTCCCATGTTCACTGTAGCATTATTCACAATAGCCAAGATATGGAAACAACCAAGTGTCCATTAACAAACGAATGGATAAAGAAGATATGGTATAGGGGTGCCTGGGTGGCTCAGCTAGTTAAGCGTCCAACTTTGGCTCAGTTCATGATCTCACTGCTCGTGAGTTCAAGCTCCGCACCGGACTCTGTACTAACAGCATGGAGCTTGGAGTCTGCTTCAGATTCTGTCTCTGTCTCTCTGCCCCTTCATTGCTCATGCTCTCTCTCAAATATAAAATAAAACATTAAAAAAATTAAAAAAAAAAAAGAGATATGGTATACTTATACAATGGAATACTACTCAGCTATGAGAAATAAGGAAATCCTGCCATTTACAAAACAGATGGATTCTGAGGGTATTATGCTAAGTGAAATTAGCCAGACAGAGAAACACAAATACTGCAGTGTCACTTACATGTGGAATTTTTTTAAAAAGTCAAACTGATAGAAACAGTAAAAATGGTTTCCAGGGGGTGGGGGGTAGATAAAATAGAGATTGGTAAAAGGAGAGAAAAACTTTCAGCTCTAAATTGTATAAGGTCTGAGTATCTAATGTATAACATGGTGACTACAGTAGAGAACACTGTGTTATATGGTTGAGGTTTGCTAGAAGGATGGAACTCAGAGTTCTTACCAAAAAAAAAGGGTGGGGAGAGGAAGGAATAGATATGTGAGGTGACATGGGTGTTAATTAACAAGACAGGGTAATCCTTTCACAAGATGTGTGTGTATCAAGTCACCACAATGTACACTTTAAATATCTTACAATGTTGTCAATTATATCTCAATAAAGCAGAAATTAAAAATAAAATAATTTTTAACAAATATCCTGAGAAAAAAGAAAAAGTCAGACATAGGTTTGTTGTAATTTAGAATATAATTATACAAGTGAAAAAGTCTCCACAGGAGACCTTAACCCTAGGTTCACTGTTTCCTGCCCTATTTAAACCCACTCAAAAGTATAAATGTTGACATGATGTACCTTCTATAGATAAGATACATCTTTTGTTTGCTTTTTTCATTTATTTATTTTGAGAGACAGAGCATGAACAGGGGAGGGGGGGAGAAAGAGAGAGAGAGAGAGAAAATCTCAAGCAGGCTCTGCAGGGTCAGCACAGAGCCTGATGTGGGGCTTGAACTCACAAAACTGAGATCATGACCTGAACGGAAAATAGGAGTTGAATGCTTAACTGACAAAGCTACTCGGGCGCCCCTAGATAAGATATATCTTAAATTACAATCTTAAATGTTATTCAGTAAAGCTCCCGAATCTGTAAGTATGGATTAATATAAAGTACAGAATCATGAATTAAGCCTAACACTGAAAGGGAGTAATTAATTATACAGGACAGTACATTCTGTTTAAAGGATACAGTTAAATTTCTTTATCTTTTCAAGTTCAGAGGCCACAGACCTGTGCAAAAAGAAAAAAAAAGTTAATGATAACTGTCTCTTTTATATCCACAATATTTCAAGTAAGCATACTTGATTTTTTTTCATAAAGTTTAGAATTTTACATAGAAGTGCCCAGAAGTTAAGAATTCTCTTTATAGGGGTGTCTGGCTGGCTTAGTCAGTAGAGCATGTGAATTCTCTCTATATTGGCTTTATTTAGCAGCAAATCGACTTGACTCAACTGACACCTATTGAGTGCTATTAATGAATAAGGTAAGTGAATAGAAGTCTTCATCTCAAGGACTTTTGAATTAGGTATTGATGGGCATTCCTGCCACAATTAAAAAAAATTTTTTTTAATGTTTTATTTTTGAGAGAAAGAGAGAGAGAGAGAGAGAGAGAGAATGAGTGGGGGAGGGGCAGAGAGAGCGCGAGACACAGAATCCAAAGCAGGCTACAGGCTATGAGTATCAGCACACAGCCCGACATGAGGCTCAAACCTGTGAACCATGAGGTGAAGACCTGAGCTGAAGTCAGATGCTTAACCAACTGAGCCACCCAGGTGCCCCAGCTTTTTTTTTAAATGTTTTATTTATTTCTAGGAGAGAGAGAGAGACAGCGTGAGCAGGGGAGGGTCAAAGAGAGAGGGAGTCACAGACTGAAACAGGTTCCAGGCTCTGAGCTGGAAGTCAGCACAGGGCCCGACGCGGGGCTCGAACCCACGAACCATGAGATCATGACCTAAGCGTAAGTCGGACACTTAACCGACTAAGCCACCCAGGAGCCCCGCCCCAGCTTTTTTTTATGTAACTATTTTTTCCTGTTTATTTGAAGTACCATAAAAAAAAAAAAAAGCCACACTTTGGAAATTCAGTGGCACAAGGTACATGGCCATAACTTGAGGGCCATTATAAAGTTTAAAAAAAAAAGAGAGAAAAAAAATTCTTGTCTGAAACTGCACTATTATATATAATTTTATCTGCCCAAACAGATCATTTGCAAATATTAGGTCAATAAACTGCATAACATCCACAAAAAGGTAGCTTTCTTACGAAAATGCAAGAATTTAAAAGACTGGTATCAAGGGGTGCCTGGGTGGCTCAGTCAGTTAAGCATCTGCCTTCGGCTCCACGAATTCACTGACAGCTCAGAGCCTGGAGCCTGCCTCAATTTTATGTCTTCCTCTCTCTCTGCCCCTCCCCTGTGTGCTCTCTCTCTCTCAAAAATAAACATTAAAATTTTTTTAAAGATTGGTATTTACCATATGTTTGCACATATAGGTGGATTAGGAGGAACTTAACGGAGGACCATGGGGGAGAAGAAGGAGAAAAACTAGTTGAGGAGAGGGAGGGAAGCAAACCATGAGAGAGCCTTGAATGCTGAGAACAAACTGAGGGCTGCTGGGGGTGGTGGGGGAAGGGGGGTGGGAGGCATGGGGAAGGGCACTTGTGGGGATGAGCACTGGGTGTTATATGGAAACCAACTTGACAATAAATTATTTAAGAAAAAAAAATACCCCCCCCAAAAAAAGATTGGTATCTAAACAAGAAAGACAAAAACAAACGAATGAAAATCTAAATATCACATCTAAAATCGGACCGTCATAGTCTTCTCTCCCTCCACCATATCCTGCTGGAGGTCCAGGCCCCACTCTTCTGTCCACCTGTCTGCCCACAGATCCCGCCTGCTACAACTTTAATACTAACCTGGTATACCCTCTGCTTTCCTCCTCCAAGTTTAGTCAAACTTAAAAATCCTACTAAACTCCTATCACTTCTATGAAAGAAGTGCTCTCTCCTTCCTTGAATTTCTATAGCATTATGTTAACTAATCATATACTTATTTGTAATATCGTCTCTTGAACTCTTTAACTTTCTGATTTTCATACCTAGATAGTCTTTTTCAGGAGAAAGGATTTTTTTCTTTTTCTTCTGTACTTTGCACATACAGTGAGACCTCATTTATATGGAACCCTTTGGAAACAGATGGTTTTGGAGGGGCAAGTTTTTACAGTTGAATTAGGTGTCAAACCATTATAAGTATTTTCCATTAAACTTCTTCTGGAATAGACTACTCACTCATTTCACTGTTTTCTTAAACAGTATATTAAACATTTCTTCTCCTTGAACAGAAGGGTTAACATTATGAACATTAGCTCTTACCAGGTTCCACAGAAACAGATATTGGGACGAATGGTAATGGGTAGAGAGCAGAATCTCATGTGTGTGTCCTTTCTCATTTTCCTCATTAAGCTAGAATGAAATGTGAGCAGTGGCACACAACTAGAAAATAGTGTAACTTAACTAGCTCTCTGCAAAATTAATGACGACTTTAATTTCTAAAACATCACTCCATTCAAGTCACTAGAAAAGTCTTCACAGTTCACAGTGGGGTATGGAACTTGTCTGCTTTACTGGCTGTTACTGAAGTGGAACACAGTCACCTCCTTATCAATTTGTACTCTTTCCTTGTACTCTAGCCTATGGATGAAGGATGAAAGAGATCTTTCAACATTTTAAACGTCTGTGGTAAAGATTTCAATGTGACTTATTCCAAGGCCTGCTGATTCTTCACTGAGAAACATCTTTTTTCCCCCACATATGACATTTTTCTGGCTGTAAGCAATAATACAGACTACCTTTAGTGCTGTTGCTCATATGATAAACCAACTTCTTATGAACTCTCTTCTGTACTATTTTTGACTAGCATTCCTATTAAAAAAGTTGAATCAGTAATAATAGAAGGTGAGTCGGAAAAAAATACTGAACTGCAATTAAGGTAGCTGTTGATTGTGCAATCACTTGTCTTCCTTCAACCCTTCTTTGACAAGAAAACAAACTGCAGCAGAGATGTGTTACGCTTTGCGAGGGAAATGGAGCTACTGTAAGCGATTGCATCTCCTCTCCCTACTCTTCCTCAGTTCCTTTGTCTTTCTGATGCTCTTTTTTGCTTCCACCCAAGGCTATCACCAATGTACACTTCTCTCATGCCCTCACTTTTTAGCTGTCTTAACAGTTATCCTCTTCAAAGCTTTCACATAAAAAGGCTTGCATCTTACAAACTTTGTCAGCTGAGCAATAAAGTGACCAATTTTATCATCCTATACAATTTCCCTTTCATCCCAACTATGTTTTTTGCTAGCTACTTAGGCAACTTTTCTGCTCCCAAACAGGCTGTAGCTGAAGAATGGAGGATCTGGAAAGCTGAATCCTTAGCATACCTAATGTATTCAGATAACATCTACTGATTTGATTTGTACCTCTTTCTCTAAGGAACTTAGAAAAATGTGTTAAGAATCAGGCTTAATGTTTATATTTTTTCACCATGCTATGCTAAGGCACTTTACAAACTACTTTAAAGCTTCCTAAATTGTTTCTAGTATCCCTCTTCCAACACAGGTTTCCTCCACCATCCAGTGGTACAGCGTTCCTGTGAAAACTTTCATTAACTGAAATGGCATAAAGTGAAAAAACAATTGCCATTCATTTTTATGGAAAATGTTTTTGCTCATTCCCATGCCCCAAAAATATAACCTCTCTTAAGGCTTTTTCTGACACCTAACGATCCATCTTGCTAATGGATGCACAAAATAACCTGGGATAAATCAGACACGCTCACAGACACATTTCAAAGCTATGGCAGACTGAAGCTGAGAGGCTGAGTGTAGTTCTCAGGTAAGGAGCTCAGGGCTATCACTCTCCCTACGGGGGGTGCAAGCTGCCTCTGAAAGAGCTCGCTGCAAAACAAATGCAGAATGCTATTTTTACTTTTCACCTTTTTTCCTAAAAGCAAAAGTAATTTTCGAATTTCTTTAGGTTAGCAAAGACAGGTATATACTAACCAGGCCTAACTCTGCTTAGCTTTTGAGATCAGACAAGATTAAGCACATTCAGGGTGGTATGGCCGTAGAAAAACGTAGAAAAACGAGGACACACTGATGTAGGTCTTTCATAAAAGCGACGTGGCGTTAGAGCAAACTTCCAAAAAGTAGGGGATACCTGTATATTCAGATTATGCTCTCAGTGATACTAACCTTCCTAAAGACCTTTCCTCCTATCATTTTTTCCAACGAGGAACTTGTAATTCCTTCAAGTGTGAGCTTTCTTATTGATCACAAGATCCATTCTTATTCTTCAAAACTCACAGATAGCAAACCCTAACGGATAGCATCTGCCCCATAAAAACTATTTTCTCACTGTTTCCACAGAACAAAATATGCTTTTTACCTCTGCACCTACTCTCTCCCTAAAATGTCTTATTCATTTCCCTACATATTCCTTTGCAGCTCAGTTCCAGTCCCCTTGTACACAGAAGGGCACACAGGAGGGCCTAAATTATATATACTTGTTGATTTGCCAGTTGATTTGGGAGAGGTAATTAATACGATAAAAATGATTTCAAAATCAATTTTTTTCTGAAAGCTAATTATGTTGGTCAACGTTTTATTTAATATTACTAAAATTTTAAAAATCTCCTTTAAATTTTCCCTTAAAGTTTTCAGGATTAATTTGTCATATTAAAAGAATCACCCATTTTGATATGAAGTTTTCAATGCAGTTTTCTGACCTTCAGATAAAATAAAATATGATGTAATATAATGAATTGGATATCTGATTAAAGATAAATTATTTTCAAGCTTAAGCTATCAGAAAAAAGCCTTAGAGTTTACCATTTGACATTTTTAATTTTTGTGACTCTTCTACACAGATAAAGCTTAAAAGAAATATAAATACCAATTTTCTTCAAGAACAGAAGATGAAGAATGTGTGGGTATCTCTCTCTGATTAGTCTGGGTCAGGCTTCTGCACCATGATATGACTGCTGTCACATACCTAGATTGAAAACATTAAAACATTAAAAGAAATATTTGAAAAATGAACTTGGATAGTATTTATAAAAGCATTTAAAAAAAAATTTTTTTTAATGTTTTATTTATTTCTAGGAGAGAGAGAGAGAGAGAGAGAGAGAGAGAGAGAGAGAGCGTTAGCAGCGGAGGGTCAGAGAGAGAGGGAGTCACAGACTGAAACAGGCTCCAGGCTCTGAGCTGGCAGTCAGCACAGAGCCCGATGCGGGGCCCGAACCCACGAACCGCGAGATCATGACCTAAGCGAAAGTCGGACGCTTAACCGACTAAGCCACCCAGGCGCCCCTAAAAGCATTTTTTTAAAAAGGAAAAATCAGTAAGACAATTTGGGGAAAAATGATAAAAAAATTTCAAAGTGAGGCATTTACTGGGAAATTTTTTGAGTCTTTTTCAAAGGAAATGGAAAAGGCCAAGTTTTCTTCATTATTCCTCAAGAATAAAATGATTTACTCATATTCATGATTAATAAAGATATTTTTATAATTTTTTAAAAAATTAACTTAATTTTGAGACAGAGAGAGCGAGCGAGCATGAGCAGGGATGGGGCAGAGAGAGGGAGAAAGAGAAAAAAATCCCAAGCAGGCTCTACACTGTTCACAGAGTCTGATGTAGGGCTCTTTCTCATGAACCATAAGATCATGTGTGACCTGAACTAAAATCAAAAGTCGGCTCCTTAACTGAGTAAGTCACCCAGATGCTCCAAAGATACTGTATTTTTGAGGCAAATTATTCAAACTATCAATGAATGTTGGAGCATTCACACCATAAATGCAATAAATCCCAACAGGAAAATAAATACTTGAGGTAAAAAAAGCAATTATTTTATGAACATTCTCAAAGAAAATCACTAAGATGCCAAGAACATCACAAGTAGGCTGGTTACAACAAATTACATAAACCAAAAGAGGGGTGCCTGGTGGCTCAGTCAGTTAAGCGTCCAACTTCAGCTAAGGTCATGATCTCACAGTTCGTGGGTTCAAGCCCCGTGTTGGGCTCTCAGAGCCCAGAGCCTGCTTTAGATTTTGTGTCTCCCTCTCTCTCTCTGCCCCTACCCAACTTGTGCTCTCTCTCTCTCAAAAATAAAGATTTAAAACTTTTTAAAATACCCAAAAGAGAAAAAGCATGTTCATAAAAAACGGATTTCAAGAATCTTCTCCATCTTAAGAAAAAGCATTACTGAATTAATTTTATTCCATGTTACAGAAATATACATAAGTTTAGTTATTTGTGCAAACCATATTTCAAACTGGTTAGGGGATTAATTAGTTAATCAGTTAACACAGCTAACCACAGTCTAATTTCCAAAGCAAGCCAGCTATATCAAAAACACTCATTTTGAAAAACCAGTTGAATACAAATGGAAATGATTAAAGCTGACCTGATTTACTTAGATATGCGAGATGCCAATATTACTGTAAACTCTGAAACCTGTTGAAATGATATCATGCACATTATCTACCTGGAAAAACTAAAAATATAACATTTAAATAATGTTTATATGCTTCGCCTCTGTCTAAAAACTATTTACCAGCATAAAAATAGTTTTTAAAATTGCTTTTCAGTACCTTGCATATGGTCCAGGGTGTTCAATCTGAATTAACTGATCTTGCCCATCAGGAAAAGTTAACTTACACCAAGCTAAGTTGAGACCCTGACATTCCTTAAGCAGAAAAGAGGAAAAGTAAGTTTTATCATTCTAAAACTGAGACAAACAAAACTCACAACAAATGTCTCTTTTATATCATCAATTTAAAAAATAATAAGTACATGAATCATTAAAACTTTGACTAATTTAAAAATTATATTTTACATGGATTATGGGTATTGTTTAACCACCACTCTATCCTGGTACTTCTCTATATAACCAGTTACCTTTATAAAAATGATTATTTGTCACATCTTTCTGGTTTTTGCTAGGAAATCCAATGAGATCACTAAAGCCTCTTAACAGATTTTACATCTCAAAAAGTAAATTGAGATAGTGTGGTACTTGATTTTCTTTGTTCTATTTCCACTGATAGAAATGATTAGAAAAAAAACAAAACAGATTTTGGTATGAAATATAATCACCTGTCTCTTTTCAGTAAAAGAGCTGAAATTCCAATTTAGGGTCAGAGTAATGCCATCCAAAAAAAGAGCATGTACTTTGTCATCAGAGTATGCAAGAAATCGTCCCAAGCTGGGTATGAGTGAGTCTCTCATAAGTAAAGGCAGTCTATTATTATCATTTATCCCAGGTACCTAAAAACAGGTAAATAAAAATAGCAGGAAAGAGAGTTATCCGTTGATAAGACTTAAATGATTAATAAACTCTGAGGCAACTTTATTCAGAAGGTGAATACTGTAGAATCCTTACATATGTTTTAACTTTTCCAAAATGGATAGCCAAATTAGTCTATTACAAGCAGATTAAGTTCTAATATTTGGAAAGTCTATGTTCTGCTGAATTTTACATAGAATACAGATAAAATTTAGGAACTACAGCAACATATAAGTTTATAATTAAATTAGCACAGATACAGAATTCAAAGTTTGAGAATCACTTCCTTTAAGTCAATGTCAAAGAATTTACTTTTACAAGTTATGGAAATCGAGAATACTGTACTTTCATAGTTTATAATAACCACATTTTGACATACTTCAAATCTTATCAATTTCTCTGCCCTTCCCCCTCCACTAAGAAAAAAGAAACAAATTACAAAGTATATCATAAGAGCAGGATTTTGCAGTCTGTATCTAGTAAGTGGATATTTTTCTGAATAAATCAATATTAATGTTACAAAGAATTTCTCACATGACTTAGATGAAAGTAACTTGAATTTAGAGGTATGTACGTAAACAATAAAACAATTTTTAAAATCTTGCTTTTAAAATAATTTTAAGAGGGGCACCTGGGTGGCTTAGTCGGTTAAGCGTCCGACTTTCGCTTAGGTCATGATCTCGCGGTTTGTGGGTTCGAGCCCCGCGTCGGGCTCTGTGCTGACTGCCAGCTCAGAGCCTGGAGCCTGTTTCAATCTGTGACTCCCTCTCTCTCTGACCCTCCCCTGCTCACACTGTCTCTCTCTCTCTCTCCTAGAAATGAATAAAAAACATTTAAAAAAAATAATAAAATAAAATAATTTTAAGAGAGACGCCTGAGGGGGCGCCTGGGTGGCTCAGGTCATGATCTTGCAGTTTGTGAGTTCAAGCCAAGCATTGGGCTCTGTGCTGACGGCTCAGAGCCTGAGCCTGGTTCAGATTCTGTGTCTCCCTCTCTCTCTGCCCCTCCCCGCTAGCGTTCTCTTGCTCTCTTTCTCTCAAAAATGAACAAACATTAAAAAAATTAAAAAAAAAAAACACAAAAAAACTGAGCTTGAGTGGCTCAGTTGGTTGAGAATCTGACTCTTGATTTCAGTTCAAGTCATGATCTCAAGGACGTGAGGCCTAGCCTGGCACCGTGCTCCTGAGCTGGGTGTAGAGCCTGTTTGAGATTCTCTCTCCCTCTCCCTATGCCTATCTCCCACTCACTTGCATGCTCTCTCAAAAAATAAAATAAAATAAAATAAAAACAAAAAAATAAAATAATTTTGGAGGCTCAGTCGGGTAAGTGTACGAATTCGGTTCAGGTCGGGATCTCACAGTTTGTGAGTTCAAGCCCTGCATAGGGCTCTCTGCTGTCAGTTCAAAGCCTGCTTTGGATCCTCTGTCTCCCTCTCTCTTTGCCTCTCCTCTATGTGGAGGGGCACACATGTGCTCTCTCTCTCTCTCTCTCTCAAAAATAATAAATGAATGAATAAATGAATAAATAAATAAATTTAAGATACCATTTTCCAGCAGCATATACGATAGTTATGGCTTAAAGAAAGCCTTGTCTTGGCACAGTGCTGAAGAATCCTGTGAACATGAAAGATACTACTTAGACATTTGCAAATAATCACATTTTCCAATTCTAGCAATGCATTCTTACTGCTATACAACATGTTAGGCAAGTAATTTATTTCCACTAAAATACATTTGGAACTCTTTCCTAGAAGGTGATAGCTTCCCTTTGTGTTAATCTTACATAGGTTACTCCTCTAATTTTTAGTATTGAAATGACTCCAAATGGAGAGAATTTTCAGGCACTCCTTTCTAGGAGGTGATGGGTTCACAGCACCTGAAAGGCTTAGCATAGTTTAAGAGTGCTGGGAGGTGAATCAACTATCCATAAAAAATCAAATTACCAAGCCTGTTCCTTCAAATCTACTTTGGAAGTTGCTTAGACATAGGTTTGCAAATATTAATAATTCAGGAATATGCTTTCATGCTTCTGTCACAGATTAATTAGAATTAAAAAATATATATATGAACCAAAGAACCAAACTTCACTTCATCTTCTGTATACTCTCAATCTTTATTACTTTGATGATAATAAAGTATATGAAAATTTAAAATGTATCAAGTGCTTAACTTGATTCCAAGACATAATAGCGATTCACTCACCCAGAGAAAAGGCACTTACTTCCTAACTGCGCATGCTTGCCATATCTGGATGTTTGAAATTTAAATTTCAAAGTCAGAAGTACTCTTATAATGATGTGATTACCTTCTTTTGTGGATGAAGAGACCAGAAAAGTTGACAGGTTTTACCAAACACACACATTCCCACTGTACCTACCATTTCTGACTCTTACCCTAACCACTAGAAAATGTGTCAGCATTCTCAGACACACAACACTCGAGTCAGGTGAATGTGACACACTTACCTGGTTGCCTGTTTAATTAGAGAACACACAGAGAACAGACTTCCTGGTCTATCAGGAGGAAGGTTATTTACTGAATAAGTTTTCTCTTCTCTCTGAAAATTAATTTAAAACAAAATATCTCAATAATAAATACTGGCCATTACTTAGCTATTTTTCTTCAAATATGTATTTACATTGTGACAAGGCAAGCAGTTATTTTAACTTAATCAAAAGCCCATAAATGGTATATTTTTAAAGGTATTTTATGCTTTTCCATTGTTCCATTTTTTTTTTTTTAAGTCCAGCATTCCTCCTGGATAGTTACAAAAGTTACATTCTAACACCCTATAATATACTGTCCAATTTAAGTTTTGGCTATACTTAAATTAATATGGCAACCAAACTAATTTTCCTACACATTAGCAGAAAACTTATCATATAAGCCCCTTTTTCCCTTTAGATCAAAACAAAAACAGGGGTGTCTAGGTGGCTCAGTAGGTTAAGCGTCCAACTCTTAATGTGGGCTCAGGTCATGATCTCACATTTCATGAGTTCATGCCCCATGTTAGGCTCTGTGCAAAGCCTAGCTGGGATTCTCTTTCCCTCTCTCTGCCGCTTCCCTGCTCTTGCTCTCTCTCTCAAAATAAATAAATAAAATTTAAAAACCAAAAACAAAACCACAAAACACTATACAGGTTTTAAAACTACTTCAATTGAATAAATATGTAATTATGCCATATTTTATTAATGGAAGAGCTATTGCAGTCTATCACAAAGGCACAAGTTGTCTAGAAGTTCTGTTTTATCCCAAAGCTCATGCTTCTATTATAGAAGACAATATTATTTACAAGTTCAGCTTCATGAACTAAAAAATGTTATTCCTTTTGAGTTTGCTCTTTCTCAGACTTTTTTTTTTAAGCCTTTAAGTCTTGAGGGCTAGTACAGCTCTAAGAGAACATAGTCCCCATACATACTTTACCATCAGTGAGAGAAGATGGGCATATCATGTTTCTCCTCCATGATATGCCTGCTTCAGTATGAAAGCTATCATCCCTCCCCGACACCCCTGCGTAAAACTGAAGCTCCAGGAAAATGTACAGTATTTATCTTGTACTTTTTCAAACTCCTAATATAGAGCAGTCAGCAGTGTAAGTGCACACACTCGCTTTATTTGCCTGTCTACTTGATCTCATGTAACACACACACACACACACACACACACACACACACACACACACAATAGTGGGCATGCTTTCATTACATTTGCTTCTTGGCCTATCTGACTGACAACTAAACTGAACCATTGAGGGAAGGAGCTCTTCACCTTCACCCAGTGCTTGACAGAGTGTCTGCCTAGGAAGGTTCAATTAAGATGTACTGGTTGAATAAATGAATACTTTCTTGCAAATAGACCCAGTGGGGAATCCGCATACATATACATATACATATAAATATATAGTGTATATATACACACTAAAATATTAACGAATGAAAAGATATTTGGGATTTACTTAAAAAATAAATAGGGAGTGGAGTGAGCAGTGTAAAGTACAGATGGAACAAGTGATAAATAATTTATCACTCAAAATTCCACGTTATAATATAAAAAGAAAACATACATATTATGTTCCATTCTGCAAAGCCAAGCCATGTGATACTATGGTGATCCTTACGTAAGGGTGGATGTCAAATGTCAGATTGGGACCAAGCAAGTTTAGACTATTGACAATATATCCATATAATTACATTTTGCTCTGATATATTAAATATACCATGTTATATTTCACTATTTAAACAACAGAGAACAGGGGCGCCTGGGTGGCTTAGTCGGTTAAGCGTCCGACTTTCGCTCAGGTCATGATCTCGCGGTTCGTGGGTTCGAGCCCCGCGTCGGGCTCTGTGCTGACTGCCAGCTCAGAGCCTGGAGCCTGTTTCAGTCTGTGACTCCCTCTCTCTCTGACCCTCCCCTGCTCACGCTGTCTCTCTCTCTCT